ACTGCCGGTATTAGTGAATACTCACCAGGGGGCAGTTCGTCCCATTTTTATTATTAGGAGCATCTGTAAGAACTGTTTGCCACCTTCTGGCAATACATAATTTCAGACAAAAAGTAGGAAAAAAGAAAATAGAGCAAAAAATTCTTTGATTCCCCAGGAAAGTAATTCTAGGAAGATACAAAAGACATTTCAGGAAAAGTTTCAGACTCCTGAAAGCATTCAAAACTTTAATATATTGTTCATTATTCACATAATTTGGAAATTAAAAAGGCGTTGAGATTTCATTGTACTTAAGCAATAAAATGTTATGCCACTTTTACTCTTAAGATAATATTAACTATTCAATAAAGTAGTTGTTCATGGTTAATTTTATGTGATGAAAAATCCCACATTCTTCGTAAACTACCAAGCAATTATTTAAAATATTTTGATATAAAAGGACAACCTAGACACAAATTTGAGGTCTAACCTCCTGTGACCTGAGATCTTGGCAGAGAGGATAAGCACAGCAAGACTAGACTTGACAGAATGTTAGAAGGGCAACCTGTAAAGAAAACATAAGTATTGCAGGAAATTAAATAAACGTATCACTAGGCTGAGCTCTTCTTATGGCTTAGCACCTAGGCAATGCTCAGAAACTGACAGACAGACCTCTCTTGTCCATTAACAGTGAAACCAGGTTTCTTTTGCTGGTGGTTCAGACATAAGCCATCAGCAGCATTGGATGCAAGTAGAACACTAGGCTTTAGTTAAGAGAGGAACTAGTAGACACATGAGAGCAGTACCTTCATTTCCACTCCATTGAATGTGTGTAAGCTGACATAGGAAAGAAAACGATTCATGTATGTGGCAGTTCTACCTCAAACAAAAAATAACTTTAGACAGGAAAGGCCTGTTCCTGATGTTTTCCCATTGTCACTCTACCTCCAGAATGGCTGTGCTCATCTCCCACTTATCCTCCCACACTCTCAAGACCTCATGTGTGGTGTCTCTTACTCAGTTAGCTATTTACTCCTTGCCTGGGAGTTATGAGAAACAGGTCATAGGTGAGTCATTCTTACATATACCATGGAGACGTGCCACTAACCTGCGTGACAGTAGCTTGTGGAAGCTAAAAGCCACCCAGGAAACACCTACTAAACTACACCAAATCAAATGCCATCACAGTGACAGATTATAGTGCTGCTCTCAGCTCATTTATCTTGTCTGAATTAGTAGGTCAAGGGAGACTTTCTCCCTTCAAAGAAGGGAGGAAGGCATCTATTAGCCTTCAGTGAGATGTATACCTTTGAAAAGCAATTTCTCCCTCAGGAAGGATGATATCCATAGTGACAAAGTCAGAAACAAATTTAAAACTACATTGCCCCTAAATCTTTCCAGCAGTTTCAACTGAGTGTGATATCCTTCACTTCTGCTTGGAAGTTGTTTGGGCATTAGTAGTTCATGCTCTATTATATGAATACTGTCTCCTCTTCCTCCCAGAAGTGAAGGGAGAAAGATGTAAAATTGTTGCTCTGTCTCTGGTTTAGTATGTTTGCAAAACGTTTTGAGATAACAGAGTAAAAGTAGGTTATATTCACAATTAACACATAGGTTTTATATAAATTTAAAAACTATAGAAAAAATATTCTGAAATATTGATGTTTCCAAAATGCAGCTATAACCTCAGAATAGGCATAAAAAAGACATCATTACTTTAGTTGCTTTACAGAATAAATTTTTTCATTTTTCTCCTGTTTATATTTGTTGTGGAAAAGCAATCATTTTAGTGCTGGTTGAACAAGGCCAAATGAACCCTGATGGCTTGAACACGGCTCTTTAAAAGGTTTTTCTTTTGAGCAACAAATTACTTACATTAATGCACTTTGCTCTACTCTAGTAATTTTTATATTTTCCCATAATGTTCAAACATTGGAGGAAAGTCAGCTGCCATACCCTCACGTCAGTATTCTCTTCACTAGCCAGTGACATATTGCAACAATGACTTGTTGACATCATTAACATCTACCAAGGCTGAGGATGAAGTTCTACACAATTTTATTTCATTTGAAAGAAAAAGCAGATTAAGCTGGGTTTTGGCTGTCTCAGATTGATGGTACTTAAACATTATAGAAAGTCCTTTTGTCAAGTTCTTACTTGCAGGTACTGTACTGTCACAGAATATATGAAATGATAGCTTCATTTCATGGCAGCTTTTCCTCCCAGCCACTGGAAATACAGCCCATATGGGTGCCTTCCCAGCAAGGCCAGGCAGTGTATTTTACATAGAATGCTCCCTGTGGCCCATCTGGGGCTCCCTTTATCCTGTGGCTACAATTCCTCATGCTTAGTTGGCCAAGTCACCTTTTTCTTCATGTTTTCTGGGGCAGAGGAAGAAATCCAGTACTGCATATAATATCACATGTCCTAATTTATAAATAACTATATTTATATGTCATTGCATGTAACATTGATTCACTTTTACTGAAGTAGGTTTTAACCCACTACAATTTCTCACTGCAATGTTCACTGGGTTTGCCTCTGAAAACAGAAAGGGAATAAAACTTAAAATTGTGCAGGGGGACAATCCATTAATAAATCAGTTCTCTTGTTTCTAGGAACTAAAAAAGCAGGCCACTCACACCCAGGTCTCCTCCCCGAGGGTCCCACAAATACCTGGTACAATATTGCCCTTCATGCCTTGGAGGAGCTGCAAGAGGTGTTTGCCACCCTGGTTTTGAATGGTGGCTTGTCTTGCTGGACAAGAATCAGCTCACCCGAGCACAGTGGCACATTTTGCGCAGAGGCAATCTTGTTACCTGAAGTTATCTTGCTGGTTTCTGGTGTGCAGCTCATACTTCCCAAAGTAACAAGCTGTTTCTGTACCTTCAGATGCTCCCAGAGCCTTGCACAAGATCTGGTAGTTGCTGTCTGCTCTTCACTGCCATTCAGTGAAAAATACCATCTCATGGACAACTGAGAAATAAGACTGTAGTTGAGTCAGATATGTTGGTCAGGCCAATGCTCAACACCGCCTCCGCCCTGGGGTGACATGACAATGCCATAAAAAGAACAAATTTTATTTCCTAAGACCCGAGATTGGTTGTTTAGTGCTAGCTCAGGTACCCCACTGAAGTGCACAGGTGCATGCTGCTTGGTGGAGTCCCGGGATAGTTTTAGAGAACCAGGCAAAGTGACTTGGACCCAATGCGTGGTCCCTGATACACATATTGACCAAAGTGGGATACCCTGGATTTCAGATCTGAAAGAGCTGGTGTTGATCTGCGCCTCCCCTATCAGGCACAGCCTGCGGTCTTGTGCCAAAGGGGTGGTGCTGAAGAGCAGAAGCAAAGAACAAGCCCATCAAAGTCGATGCTTTTTGTAGGCAAGCTCCTAAGAGCTGATCGCTGTACTTGCATGAGCCTTCCTTTTATCTTTCCTTGCTCGAGTGCCAAGCAGGGAGCAGATGGTACATTACTCAGCCTTAACTGGAGGGTAAGAAAGTGTGATTTTTTTTAAAAAACTCAGTTGAGACCCTCAGCCCATTTAGATTCCCAGCTCAAAGTTTATTTGTCTTACACAGAACTTGTACTTTCTACCCCTCTCAAATGCTAATCCTCTCCACACATATGCTCATTATGCAAAAGCATATGACAAACACCATCTGGGAAAATAAATAGCTCTTCAGCAAACCGTGCTGCTCCCCGCCTTTACGTCACCCACCTCACTATTGTCTCTCCTATTTTTGTCTGCAAGACAGCAATCACTCAATCAAGCTATTAACTTAAAAGTGCCATCTCAGTCAAGCAAGCTGCAGATCCCAGGCTGGGCAGTAAAGCCCATTCCATTTTTCAGGATGATGTGCATCTTCATGATAATTCGAAAGCAGCCGTAGCACTGAGAAAAAGAAATGCATCTTTTAATGGACAGTTGATATCACTGAGGGATACTAGTCCTGAGCTACAGAAGTCCATGCTTGTTTTTCAGCTTGAAGGGTACATTTTCTCCCCTGTGAAATATACAGCTCTTGTCATGAGCCCCACCTGGTCTCCATGGATTCCTGAGCTAGTCCTTCATCTCTGACAGATTATTGCTCATACTGTTCAGAGCCAGGCAATGGTGCTAAATAGGGAATGACATTAGCCAAGTTCAATGATTTCTCTAACTTCTATGTAGACGGTAAGAACAGTTGTACTGTCATTATTCATGATGGACTTGCTGTCTGCCGGGACGTTAATCAAAAGAAATGAGAATCATGTGTGCAAGAGAAAGGTATCTCAGAATATTCTGGTTTTGTACCAATGGGTTAGGAAAATCATCATGATTCAGCAAAGGAGATGTCTATTTAGTTAAATTAAACAGGATCTACACAATCCAACCATATTGTGTTGAGGCTAAGTAACCAAGAGAAATTCAAAATGCACAGCCAAAAGACTCAGCGGCTGCTGCTGTGATATAAAGGCAGAGCTTTGTAAGTACCCTGCAAGAATTGTGTGGCCATAAACACTGCGATATTATATCTGTTTAGAAAAAATATGAGACAGAATTCAATGATGACCTTATCTGAGCCACAAATTCTTGTCAATTATTATATGCTTGTAGGGACATGTTTAATAGATGGCAAAACGTCCTTCTCATTTGTCCTCAGAGACAGCACTGATATTGCCCAGCTAAGAAATCCATTATACAGCTACAAAAGGGGCAATTTGATTTCATGAGCACGTGCCTGTGTTATTTTAAGAATAATTTAACGTGGGCAGAGGAAAGCAGAATCTGTAAGAAAGAAAGACCAGGGTTTGCAGTAAGAACCCTGTGGTTCTTGCTTCTCCTGAACATTTTAGGGCAGGGGGGAGGGACTTCATTTTTGGTTTTCTCCTCATTTACTGGGAGTTTCACCTCACCTAAAGCAGAGGAGTTTAAGTCTGGTATGTGACTTGAGTGTTGATGTTACTCTGAATACAATATACACTCTGTGCTGCTGAATATGCCCTTAACTCCCTTCTCTTTGTTGTTAACAACAGACGAACCAAACTCCTGGAGTGCTCCCTCTGCCACCTCCCCAGGTCTGCCGGAAGTAGCTCTTTCCCTCGATGACATTATCTCACCATTATCTTCATCACACATAGCCCCACCCTCTGACCCTTCTCACCAGATAAGCCCAGAGCCAACATGGGATATCAAGAGGGAACAAGATGTAAGGAAACCAAAGGAGCTTTCGGTGAACGGTCACAAAAAGAAAAGGTTAGGAGAACAAAGAGAAAGGTCAGCAAGTCCTAAAAAGGTAGACAGGTCAAAGCATGAAGAGGCTTCTTGGAAAGGATATTCAGAAGGCAAAAATAAGACCACTGATGGTGGCAGGCCCACCTCAGAAAGCAAAGTGGTGGGACACAGCATTATGATCGAGGCTGGCACAAGAGAGCACGTGTGTGCTGGAACCAGTGATGAACAGTTTGGGAGGCTGAGGAAGCTGGAAAGCAAGAGAGGAGGATCTCTTAGCAAAAAAGAAGACCACAAATCTGCAAATATCAGTGAGAAGAAACCAGCTGCAGCACCCGACCATGTCAAGCTTGATACGGGTGCTACCAAGACGTACAGTAGCAACCGCTGCAGCTCGCCTGGAAGTGATATGGACCACAGCCAGAGGGACCCTGATGGGAAACCCAGCGAGTTCCCCAGGAAGGGACATCTCCACTCCATTAGCACTCGCAGCACCAACACCACAGTTCGAAAGGCAACGGTCTCCCCAGGGCCATGGAAAATCCCTGGCTCAGATAAGCTACCTAGCGTCCTGAAGTCTGGTACTTCTGCCATGAGCAGATAAGCAAGGGACTGTTGCCCTCTAACTGTCTCAAACTGACGCAGAACATTCTTCTTAGTTTTTGTCTCACATTGGTTTGTTTTAATTTATTTTAACTATCACACATATACACAAAGCATTGAGGAATGAAAACATTAGTGTGTAATTCCATGACAATGTGCACAGTATCTAATAAGTTCAAAAGCATATAGTCAACACGGAGATTTAAAATCGACCCTAAAGTCCCAGTTCCATTTTAGGGACTTAGGCAGCTATGGAAGAAACCAAAACAATATGAAGGACAGTACATCAGAGAAGGATAGTGCAGTGTAGCTTTAGCATTTTTTTTCCCACTGCATGAAGGACTTGGATTTCATTCAAACTTTATATCAAGAAACTGGAACAAGTTAGAGCAATCACAAACTGGAACATCGCCTTAAATAAAACTGCACGGAGCAAGCTGAAACAGAGAGAGGATCTTTTCATGGAGCTAAAATGTTGTAAATAAATTGTTCTCGACATATCTAGACAGGGGCTAAAGGGTTTCTTTAAAGCATCATTCAGAACTGTACACCCATGACACCTCTCCACTGTTAACACTTTGGGATAGTCCACGTGGTACCCTGTAGCATAGTTCACTGGGCGCTACGGGAGGAGTGGGGAATCCAGTGGATTAGTTTCTGTGATACCATTTCTACTGCCATTTTTGTGAACAAACCATGTTTCTGTACATTGGAAAGGAGTTAGGGTGGCGTTGTGTTTGCAAATTACTCTCAAAAGTGGTTTATTACAGGTTCCCCAAGTCCTGCAAAGTAGCAGACAAACCAATTGGTCAGGCTCAAAACCCAGACATCTGCAAGGCCCTTGCAATGAAAGGAAGAGTGCTACAGAGAAAAAGCTGCAGTTTCCTTAAGGAAAGGCCTTTCCTTCCTGCAGAAGATGATCGTTTCACTTATCAACAGTGCTATGTTTCATACCCATCTGCATTTAGTTAGGACACTCTCATCTTCCATCCCCTCAGTTTGGCAGAGCAGGTGCCCTTCAGGCACACGTTAACAATAATTAGGCTGGTTTCTGAAATACAGTTGTCGGTGTCCTCGTTCAGTAAATTCAATATATTTCCATTTTCAAAATAGTTTCCATGTTACCATTTCTTCCCTACCTCCATTTTTTTTTGTTTGTTTTGTTCTGGGTTGGGTTTTTTTTGGTCTTTTGTTTTTAACTTTCTCGCTTGTCTGTTTTGAATTTCAAGCCTTAAGTGCCAGGTAAACATTCCAGTCTGCCTTCACAGGAAATAACTCCGAGTTCAGTCAAACAGTCATTATCTTGTTTCAAAAAGATGCGTGCATGTCTGTGTAAGTGTGCATATGCTTATTTGTCTGTCAAAATTGAAACAAAATCCTGGGCAATAATACATTGGTAATTAAAAAATAAGAGAAAAAAGTCATGAAGAAAGTACTGTCAAAAATTTGTATTTAAAAGTTACTGTTCTCTAGCAATCTTAGTTCCTCACATGCTCTGCTGAAAAATTAGACTGAGATTGGCTTTGTTCCAAGAAATTAGCACATTACTCTATGTCTCAAACATTGCACTGGACTGAGAAATTTATAGGCATGTTTCTTCCTGTCCAATTATTTGAAAAGCCTCAAGTCAAGGATTTTGCAGCTTTCAAAAAAGTTTTTCCTTTAGAAAGAAAACTCCATTTAAAATATGATTTCTAAAAAAGCACAAGTCCATGTAGCTGTTTATAAAACTCTTATTTAATGGAGGAAAAAAACATCCTTATCCCCTGAACTACAATCCAATATAATTTGCCATTAATTTATTGAATCTGATTTTGGACAATGCTTCTGTAGTGTAGATGCACATCCCAGTATCTTATTTTTATGTATAAAGAAAGCAAACAATAAAATCTGAAAAACAATTGAGATTATGCTTGCATAAACTCTAATTTGCACAGTTCACAGCTACTCCTTGTGCAGTAATTGCTTTATGCGGCTGTAATCGATAACCTGTGAAGACAGCACATCATCTAAACCCCATTCCAAATAATATTTCTGTGTAGTGTTAGCTGTGAATTTACCCTGTACAGCTCTATCTCTATAAATATAATTCCATGTATTAATAGTCACAGAAAGGCTGTAAGTGAGCAACTATTTTTATGAAACGCACCACTATGGATAAATTAACTTTTACAGAAATCTTGTTTACTGTATGATATTCTAAACCACTGTCAAATAAAATATATATCCAAAAGTCGTCTTTTTTTTTTCAATTTTACATAGACTGTGTTAATTTTGAGTAACAAGCTTCAGCGTTACATGAGAAACAACCATTTACATGCATATGAGTAGAGTTAATTAACTAATGCATTATAAAAAAAGAAGGCTCCATTTTGATTTCTGACTCCAAAGAGGGGTACAATTTATGAACATATACGTACGTGACCAAATAAATTCCATATAGGCAAGTTAAGCTCTATGAGGCTACACGCAGAGAAACCTCTCCCTTGGTGGAGAAGCCTGAATTCTTACTCTCCTCCTAGTCTAAGGAGACATAGGACCAGGGTCGCCAGACTCCCTGCACTGAGAGACATATACTATATATATGTCTCTCATATACCATATGGCATATACCATATATATATATCTCGGAGCATATACCACATATACAAAAGGAATCTGGCACCTCTAAGTAGCCCTAGAAAGGTTTGTTTTCAAACTGAGTGAAGGGGGCATAATCTGATTTCCAGTTTATTTTACAGAAACAAGAACAGAAAAATGCTCCTTACCTTCAGTTAGGCAAAATAAATCACCAGTTTACAGACTGGAGGCACTGTAAGATGTGCTGGCTGGAAAACTGGCAATATTTTTCACACAAATATGACCTTTTTTAAAACAGCTATATCCTTTTTTCCTTAAAATATCATTTTCTTCAAAAAATAATAATTTGCCTTCATACACCCTGAGTCAGTTTCCGCAGAGCCTCATTTTTGAAAACATCAATGTTCCACATAAAAACTTCAACCAGCTGAACTAATAACATCATTTTTCGTTACAATAAGCACACCACAAATTTGAAGCGTCTTTAATACTCCAAAATATTTGCTCCTCTTTAAATAGCCATGATTTTCATGGCTGGAAATCTGAGTATGGATATCTCAAAGGTATCACAGGGAAGCATGCCAAAGCAGTATAGCCTCACCCATTCTGTTAATAACATGTTCTTTCTCTTTTAGACATAGTAGTGCAGCATTTGCAGTGCATTGTCATTCCTGTGACACCTTTTTACCTACCTTTTCATACCTATGCAATAACATGGAAACTGGATGCTTATTTTGATGCATATTCTCTACTCCAAACTCCAGTGCATTGGTGTACGTAAGCTTGCCTGCATGTGATCAGCAATCCACACCTGGGAGGAGTTTTGGTTAAACCTTGTAGGCAGGTAGATGTGCAGCCCTTTTCTAATTAATGGCAAATGTTGTCTCTGGGGCTCAGCATCACTCCAGGTATTTCTGCTTGGCAGCTTTAGGAATTCCATACAAACTACAGGGCCTGGAAGAGCTTCAAACAAGTTTAGTAATACAAAAGCAATGGAAAATTCAACAACTCCCACAAGGGTTTTTTGCCAAAGGTGCCATCTTTTCTTCCAGAAAGCTGCTGGGCTGACAGCGCTCCTCATCTAGGTACAACGGAGCATGGGCTGTGCTGGTTTCATTACACTACCCTCCCTAGAACAGGAGGGACATTTGTAGCCTGTGTATCTACCTATTCCATGGCCTCAGTGGTAAGACAGACAACAATTCAGCACCACTGTGAATAGCTGTCTGTTAGGAACTGATGCAGAAGTTCAAGCACAGCCCCATTTCCTCCCTGGTATTTTTCATCTCCCATCTGAATGTTCAGCATCATTGCCAAGAATTTCTCCATCAAAGATCAGCTTCAGTATGATTTTCGCCATCTCTGCTGAATACGAACATCTCATGCTTGGCCTCCTCTACATCCCATGTGCCCTCAGCACCTCCAGGTCTATCCTGAATCTCTTCTCTTCCTTCACAGCTTCCCACTACTCTTGTTCTTAAGCCTACCTCTGAGATAAGTGCTGCAGTTTTGCAGTGGATTAAATCTTTCATTCTCCATTTTTCCCTTCTGTGTAGCTCAGAACTTTGTCTTCCTCTTTTTAATTCTTTCCTTCTGCCTCTCTCTCACCAGCTGGCATCATTTGCTACTCTCAACCTCTACCTTACATGTCTCAGCAGCTCCACTTTTGACACCTCTACTGAGGTGTCTCACAGTGCCAGTTACTCACAGTGGACAAGTCATTAACATACATATAAACATATACATACCAAACACTTTGTACTGAAACCCAACCCAAATCACCTGCTCGGCCTTCCGAAACCAGCAGTGATGGCTGATTAGACATTCTAACTCCACATGCAGCCCTTTGTAAGTACAAATAATGTCTTTTCCTCAATCCATTAGAGCTGAATGTCTGTACTGATAATGATCCAAACATTCAGGCCAGGGTTTGTGGCTGCAACATGCTATGATCTCTACTGGAAGTCTCTAAATTCATTTCACAAAGGCAAGGACAGGCACAGCTGCAGGCACATTTCTGTCTTAGCTACTACACTCTTTCTGTATACCGCTGCTGCAGCAGAAACCCAGGGCCAGAACTGCAGAAGCATAAGTAGAAAAGCACACATCAGCTAATGAGGATGTCACTCTCCATGTTTCTCCTTGCTTGGAGGGAAGCTTTGGTGTGAAGGGGAAAAGTTTCTTGGTACAGCACCATGGAGCTCAAAGTTAGAGAAGGCTTTGGACTTGCCCAGGGATGACTGATCTCATTAGGGATTTACTTCACAGTGCACTTCTGTAAGTCTCCAAAAGAGTCCTTTCCCTCTGTTGTCCCCTTGACACCTAGGATATTTGCTGTAATTGTTGCTTAAAAGGCTGCAGAGGCAAGGCAGGCTGCCTACTCTCATGACTAATAGGGGACTTGAAGAGAATTCCCATGGCTGTGTTATGCACGGCTCCCACCATCATCTCTATTAGACTCAAGGACTCTCAAGGCGGTTTCTTCATCTATCATGTCAGAGCCAAACATCATCTTTACCTTCACAGCTGCAATTGAAAGTGTGAGCCTTTTTAATTAGCCATTACTCACAAACAAAAATCCAATGCACTTTCTGGATAGGAACAGCCCCAAGAGGGGCCATGACTCAAACTTCACTGATACCCCGAGTCCCTTGCTGGACAGCCCAAAGGTCTCCCACGTAGCATGCAAGACCAGCCTCTCCCTTGGTGCAACAGCTTCTCCCCACCATTTGAATAAGTACCCATAATCTCTGCACAGACCATCACCCTCCTGGAGCCAGCACAGGCACACTCGGTTCAGCCTTCAGGGTCCCAGATTATTTTACTCAGTATTTCTAAGAGCAATGACATGATTGCACATTCATCTCCATAGCTGGCACCTCAGCTCAGAGCAATTTCTTTAAAATACATTGTCAAGACACAGTAACATAAGCAGTAGCACTGAATTATAGTCAATCGAAAAATGATGGTTTGTCCTCTTCTGCCTTTAGTGCCTCTATGGCAGTAAGTCACCCTGCCAGTTCAATTAATCGATAAGCAGAGTTTTGCTTACAAGGTATAAATATATCTCTTTTAAACAGCTGGGGGAACACCAGTGCACAAATACCCACTCCCACTCGTGCACACACAGGGACCTGGAGCACCCCCTTCCAATCCTGCTCAGGAGCTTCCCAAACACCCGTGTCAGAGATGCATGGCTGCTCCTCTCAGAGAGTTAAAACATATAAGGATGCAGAATGACCCATAAAGATATTGTTCTTCCACAGATGAACTGCTGTATTTTAAAAATAGAAGATATTTAAACTGAAACAATAAGCAAGAAATGGTATGGGGAAAAAGAGTGACAGGGCTTTCTGCTATGGAACTCTTGCCAGCCTGCTCTGTTTTCTCCTACAAGCTTAAAAATGAAAGGAAGATGGCCTATGGAACATGAGAGAGCACTGCAAGCTGGAGGGACAGAGAGGAAGGGGTTTTAGTGATTACACTTTTAAAAAATGTGATTTATTTAAGCAAAAGGCCTGGATAAACACAAGGAGAGGATGGCACCAGAGGAGAGGAGAGCACCATGCCCTCTGTCCCCAAGGGACAGCTCCAGGGTGCTGACAGGCTCTTCCAAACAGTAATCCCCTGGGTGCTCCAGAGGCTGCAGCAGCCTTAGCAGTGTGCTGGCACTGCAGTGACAAGCCAGCAGCAGAAATTATTTCTCTGCAATGTAGGAAGATTGAGAATCCAACCCCTGTGATGCTTCTCTTTACCTGTGTGCCCCAGGATTGCTGGTACCACCAAGGGACAGCCCTGTTGCCCTCCCAGAGATGCTGTAGATGTGGGAGCAAGGGGGAGTAACTAAAACATGAAAGCCAAACCCTGACCCATGGCAAGAGCCCTTCCAACTTAGAGAAGTTGGAAGAAAGGTTCTGAGCAACCGCAGGAGATCCAGTAGGAGTGAGAGCAGGCCACTGGCATCCTTCTACCCTTCCCCTCCCAGTAAATTAGGGCCATTGCTGTCAGTGAAGCCACCTGAATTTTTACACTGCTTTTCTAATGCTCTACAGAAAAAAAAAAAATGTTTTTTCTTCCTGGATTGTCCTTTGCTCAAAAGCAGTGAAAAAGAATAGGCAACCAAACCAGCCCCAAACACCCTGCAGCCATCACCATGGCTCGGAAGTTTCTATTCATACATATGTATGAAATTAACGAATATTGGTGTTTGTGATTAAAATCTATGCTAAGAGCTTTATCTAAAGTACTTAAAGAATCGCAGTCATAAACCAGAAAATTGTTCACTCTGTCTCTAAACCAGCAAGTACGAAGAGCTACATTTAGGTACCTATTTAATTCAGGAAGATAATCAGACCTTTCTCTGAGTAGTCCACAAAGCTCGCCACATACAAACACCTATTCCAATTAGCGCTTGTCCTGGGTTCAGCAGTAGCAGTCATTTTTCTCCTTCTTAGTAGGTGGCGCAGCACTGGGATTTTGACTTTCAGGCTGGGAACAGCGCTGATAACACCGATGTTTTTAGTGGCTGCTCAGTAATGTTTACTCTGACCAAGGCCTTTGTGAGTCCCACGCTCTGCCAGGGAGGAGGGGAAGCCAGGAGGAAGCAGAGACAGGACACCTGACCCAAACTAACCAAAGAGGTATTCCATACCACAG